AAGATTAAGTCAAAATCAAGAAATTCTTCAATATCCATTAAAATATGGAATATTTGCTACATTAGATGATCATTATCGACCTTTATCATCAACTATCAAAGTAGATTTTTTTTTTTAAATATATTTATATAAAATAGTATCTTTTTCATAAAATAGTTTGAATGTCGAACTATTTCAATGTCACGTCCAGATTTAAAAATAATTGCTCAATCATTATTATACAAAAATTGTTTGTTTACAATAAATGAACAAGAAGATTGTAGGGAAACAGCAAGAAATCTTGTTGATTTTATTGAATATTTAAGACTTATTGTAAGTCTATTTCAAATATATATATATATTTTTTTGCTTATAATCAAGTAAATAAATTTAGTTTGATGAAATAAAATCTTTCTGTTCTCCATATATTCTTCTACAATCAATAATTGAACAATCAGTAAATATAAATATAAAACAAGCAATTGTTATTGTGCTTAAACAATATCAATTATATGATTCAAATATTCCACAAATACTGGATAAATTTTTTATTGAAAATCAAAATGAATTAAATGAAAAAGAAGATGAACTTTGTTTTGTTGATTGTTTAAAGCAAGAAGCACATGATGATAAACTTATTTTTGATAATGATGATATATTTAATCATGTAAAATTAATATTTTAAATATGTAATATTTCATAAATATATTTATTGTTTAGGCTTCTCGTTTAATGTATGCACTTAAACGAAATGATTTAATATTTATTACTGGACACTGTGGCACAGCTAAATCAAGTTTAATACGTCTTGTTGAACGCACTATTAATAAACAAATGAGTACAGTTAATGTAAGTCAATTTAATAAATCGAAACATTTTGTATATGAGATCTTATTTGATAAATTACAATAAACTGTATAGGATTTATTAAGAGTCAATATTTTAAAATCGACTCTATTTTTCTTATCGTACAAGAAATATGTAAGAATAAATAGATTCCTGTGTTCATTGATGTGATATCTTCATCTTCTCTATTTTCCTTCTTCTTTCCTCTTACTTGAAAAAAAAAAACAATATTCATTTTTATTGATTTTTAAATTTTTGTCGTTTTCAAGACTGATTCTATCGAAGATGAACAACAAAAACTAGTTATAATAAATAAAGTGTTTCCAAATTCATTTGATGAAGATCAAGTAAGAATAAATCATTTTTGTTTTTATTAACAACAAAAAATTCTGTTTTAAGTTTTATCATACAAAGGATAGTTTTATTGAACAATGGAAACGATATCATGCAATAACAGTCGCAACTGATGTGGTAAATATCAATTCTATTATTTAAAATGAAATATTTCATTATTTAGACATCGGATCAACATTGGATTATTCTTGACATTGATTCTCATTCAAATTGGTTAACACCAAATAAAATTCAATATATTTACAATGAACTTCATTCATTATTATCTCGCCACAACGGTAAAAAATAAAAAAAAAAAAAATTCTAAAACTTAATTCGATATTTTAATTTTGAAAAGGTTCAATAAAATTATTAATTGAATGTGATTTATTACCAAATGAATTTTATAATAATTGTTCATTATCTGATAAAATGTTTATATTAAATCTTAATAAATTTCAATCTCGAATGAAATTACTTCAAACAGCTGTAAGAAATCTTGAATTAAAACTGCATTTATTAGATTCAACGTAAGTTTTTATTAAATAATTATTTTAACTAAACATTTTATTTCTGTATAGATTATCATCGATAAAAGAATTTATTAATGATATTATTGAACCTTATATTAAATATATTGAAAAAGAACATATATATCATACTCATATAAATAATTTTACTGATTCATTTATTAAAATTCTTTCAGCTTTTATTGAACAACATTTAATTGATGTTCAACATAATCATGATGCACTTAATTATATATTTGCTTATTGTTTTATATGGGCTTATGTTCATCCAATTCATTTCAAGTAAATATTTTCTTTGGAAATATTTTATTCTATTCAATTTTATCTATTTAGATATGAAGAACAAATTACGTCATTTGTCCGACAACTTTTTAAATCTTACGATTTTCCTCCTATGAATTGTAAATTAACTGATTTATATCCTGATTTAAATGCATCATCATCAGCTCGTTTTGTTCTTGTTCGATCTTGGTTAAAAGCCCATGAAATAGCTTATGATTGTATACCTGAATTTGAAGGTGCCATGCGTTTAATGTCAATGCTTATATCAAGTAATTATCCATTAGGTATTTATAGTTATGAACAAGGCTTTGGTAAAACAACATTAATGAAACGTTTATTAGCTAATATATCTCATCTTCGTCTTGTTTCAACTGGTGAACAAAGATCATTATTATATGATGAATTATTTAAATATAATTTACCTATTTTAACTCATGGAAAATCAACGAAAGGATCAAAATTAGTTATTTGGATTGAGGATGTTAAACAAGAAGATACAGAATTAATTCGTTCATGGATTGATGAATATTCTTCATCAAAACATCAAGAATTAAATATTGTTTTAACTGGTCAATCATATAATTCATATTCACCACGTTTTTCCCGACATTTTGTTCCAATTATAATTCATCAATCAATATCAACTTTAATCGGTTCTATTTATTCAATACCAATTAAAAACTGGTTAGAAGAATTTTCTGTTGATGCAATTAGTCATCCTATTGAATTAGCTCATGCTTGTCTTTTAACATTAGAAGAAATATTTGATTTTTTACGACAACATTTAAATAAAATAAAATGGAATTTACATCATGTTGAATCTCTTATTAATGGAATGTTACTATTAGATGGAAAAGTTAAACGTGGTGCTTTAGGAACTCATAGAGAATTAACTAAAGTAACAGCAAGATTCAATAAAAAGAAACAACAAGAAGAACAAGTTGCTACTATTGTTCGATTGTTATGTCATGAACTTTCAAGAACTATACTTGATCGTTTAACAAATACAAAAGGTATCATTTTATTTAATTATAAATTTTCTATTGATTTAATTACTTTGTTTTTTAGATCGTGTTCTGTTTCAAGATTTTCTTTATAAAACAATTGTAGTCAATTTTTGTACTGAATTAGAATTTCATATTGTTTCAACAAATGAAGGAGAAACAAATATTAATTCTCAGAGTGACCATCCAACTATTCCATTGATTGCAGCTCCAGCAACAGGTGGAAAGAAACAAGTTAAATTTAAACTAGGTCTTGTTAGTGATCGAGCAGCATTAGCTTCATTAGACGGACCTATTGTTCCATTTGGAAAATTAGTTGGTCTACCTAAAATAAAAGATCCTTCAAAAGTAACAAATTCTGATGTAATTATTGAAAAGTTAAGTAAATTCACTTATTTTTCAAAACAAATTCTTCCAATGCATGGTGATTATATTGGTGATCGTGATTCTTTTACAAATCAATATCAAGAATCTGATGATATACAAATAAGTGCAGCACTTCGTTCATGTCAATCACGAATGAGTAAATTAGTACATATGGATTTATCATTTATTCCTTGTACATGTCGTCATATAACAAATCTTGTTCGAGTTTTTTGTTTACCACAAAATGGTCATGCATTACTTCGTACTAATAATATTGGATTAGGTCGTCAAGATTTAGTTCAATTATCTGCTTATATAGCTCGACAACAATTTTTTGATGCACATAGTTCAGTACCATTAATTGATGAAAATGAATCAGTTAAACAATGTCTTCGATCAAGTTGTCTTTTGGCTGGATTAAAACAAAAAAATGTTGTTGTACTTGTACGAGAAAATTTTCTTTCTGATCAAATGATAAAACAATTATATATATTTACATGTGAAGGAACATATCCAGGTCTTTATTCAAATGAAGAACTTATTAGAATTGCTGCTGCACTTTCACCTAGTTTACCAACAACACGTCGAGTTATGAAAACAAATGCAGTTTTAAAAACATTTTATGCTAGACTTAGAAAACGACTTCATTTAGTTATACTTGAAAATAGTCAACGTAAATATCTTTCTTATTTTCGTTTGTTTCATGTTTTTCTTAATTAATTATTATATATAGAACCTCGACATGTCGGTTTATTGTCTTCATGCTATGTTGATGAATATCAAAACTGGACAATTGATGAAATCATGTCAATTGCTCAATATTGGATGACAAATAAAATTGTAAGATTTATTCAATGATTAAGATTCTTACTGATTTCAAAAACAAACTCTATATAGAAATTGAGAATAAAAGAATAATTCCTTTCTTAAGTACATTTCTTTTATCAAAGAAGTATAAATTGATTTCGTTGATATCGAATAATTTCAATGAGTGAGACACGCTAAAACTGTACTTTGCATTAACCAAAAAAATTTGTATATGACTGTCAATGGAGTGTAAAAAAAAGCATCTCAAATTAAAAACAAATCTAATTTTTTCACAATAAGAATTCATTGATGCAATACTATAGTCTATTATGATTAAACTAATCGCTTCTATTATATCTCCAAAGATTCTTTTCCAGTACTTTAACTAAAATATGTAAGTGTTTTTCTTTCTATTGAGTAATAAACCTTCTACGAGAGTCTAGATCAAATAAGCATGATCATTAACGACCATCTACAGAAAAATTCTGTAAAGTTTACAGAAATAAAAGTTTCCCGTTTACTGTCCTTGAACACGGAAGTCATCTAAGAGTTCCATTTTTGTGCAAAGATAGTAGCAAAGATCTATGATTATAATAAGAAGCTATGCAAATTGACATAAAATAATCGTATGCAGAACTTGATTTTCGAATGATAATTTAATAAAAATGTTTTAGGATATTTCACATCCAATTGAATCAACATCAATATTTAATACAGTTTCTCAAGCATTAGCTGAGACTTATTTATCTATGAATGAATATGAATCGTTTACTTTAAGAAGTGTTCGAAAAGCTATTGAATTTTTCTTTAAATTTTATCAACATATTCAACAAAAAGAAGAAGTAAAATAATATATTATCTTTTTTTTTAAATTTTTAATATAATCTATTTAAAAAATGTCTATTAAAGATTCGTTTATCTCGTTGTGAATCCATGCTTAATCGTAGTAATAAATCTGAACGTATCATTGAAATGAATAATCGATTATGTATTCAACTTCAAAATGAAATTGATGATTTACAAGAAAAATTATCTAAATTAGATGCGGAATTTTTAATAAAAAAACAAAATTTTTCTACAGTAAGTTTTACTAAATAAACATAGAAAAAATATTTTATTTTAAATGAAATAAAATTAATTAAATAGGCTGTAGATGATTGTCGTGAAGAAGAAAAATTACTTAATGAAATGAGTATTGCATTAGATCGTCTTCGTCAAGATGTTCAAGCTGATGTTGATAAAGCCAATCCACAATATGAAAATGCATTAAATGCATTAAAAATGTTAAATAAAGCTGATTATGATGAAATTCGAACATTTCGACAACCACCTCAACCTGTACTTGCTGTTATGAATACAATTTGTATTATGTTTAAACGAAAACCTGAGTATTTAATTTGAAAAATTTTAATTTTAATTTTTCATTTATTTATTTTTAGATGGTCTGAGGCGAAAATTTTAATGGTTAAAGAAAACTTTTTTGATGATCTTGTTTTTTATGATAAAGATAATATATCTGATGATATTTTTAATATGTTAACAAAAATTCTTAAATTCGATACATTTCATCCATCATTTGTTACATCTTCTTCTAAAGCAGCATCGAGCCTTTGTGCATGGATTCTTGCTGTTTATGAATATGCAAAGATTGCACGATCACAAAAAACAAAACTTGAACAAGTTAAAGCTTATCAAGAACTGTATAATAAGGTATACTCATATTTGTTAAAGTAATTTTCACTTTGCTAACTTGTGCAATTTTGAGAGTAACTAGATTTCGGAGACTAAAATAATTGATCGTTGTGATTTAAACGTTCTTAGATACATTGCTATCAAATACACTAATAGAATATATGCTAACTATGATTTACAGATTCCTTCATGTAAATTTAAATTAAATTGTATGTATTGAATCGAATCGAGAGACTTATTTTTCCTTTTGCTTTTATACATCTCATTCTTGAGGTTTGGAAAAACTAGAATACTAAAAACGAAATTGAAAAAAAAAAAAGAAATGTTTTCAACAATTAAAAATTTTGTCCAATCTTTCAAAATTTCATGGGAAAAATGTCACGAAGAAGTTATCATCCAATGGATTCTAATGTGATGGGGAAAACTTTCGTTTCTGCCCATTGTGTTTTTCTAATTGAGATACAGATTTTCTTTTTCTGTATTTATCTCAAATCTATGATTTTTTGTGAGAACAGAACAAATTTTCCAATAAGAAAAGTTCTTTTTCCAGTGCGTTAGAACACTATTTGTTATAGACAAATATTTTGTGTTTGAACATTTTAGCTGATTTAAATATTTTCGAAAATGACACAATTGAAATTTATGTTTATTATTTTTTGTTCTATAGCGTCAACAAATCCTAGGCGAAAAACGTATTCGAGCTGAAAAATTACGACAAGAATTATCTCAATTAATATTTGAGCGTCGTTCTCTATCTACGGAAATACAATCAAAGAAAAAACGACAAAATAGTTTTCAATCTACAATTGATAAAACACGTTCAATGCTTAAATTAATTGATGATGATATTCAACATTGGCAAAAACAAGTTGATCAAGGAAAATCAAATAAAAAAACATCAATTACTGATGCACTTCTTGTTGCTCTTTATTTTTCTTATTTATCACAATTTAATATTGATCAACGTCAACAATTATTATTTAATTGGCAAACAAATATTTTAGAAAAAATCTTACCCATACAATCTCATTTTAATCCACTTGATCTTATTATTAATCAAAAAGGTTTTTTTTTTTTTTTTTATTTTTCTTTTCTAAATAAAAGACAAAATATAATTTGAGTGTTGTGAATATTTTTTGTTTGTTTAGAGTTAAATGATTATTTATTAAAACAAGAATTATCATCAATAGCTGATCAAAATTCACTTTTGAATGGAATTAATTTAAGTAATCAACTTGATAATACATTAGTTTTATTTATTAATAATCCAGAAGATGATATATCTACATGGAATGATTTATTAACTAATTTTAAAAATACATATGTTGAAAGAGCTAATCATGGTTTGAATAATTTATTTTTATTACAAAACAAAAGAAAAAAAAAATAATATTATATTTTGATCCTTTTAGAAATTGAATTATATCATGAATATAAACAAAATCAAATTAATATGCCATCAGCTGATACTAGAGCTGGAAGTCTTCAAGATCGAACACAACTTTATTCGCGTATTAGTTCAAGTAAAACATATATTACTGAAATAACTGAAAAATCTTCACTTTGGGAATCATCAACGGTTATGTCAAGACCAGCTACTTCGTTTGTTTTTTTTTCTAAATTTAATTGATTTTATTCTATTGATTTATTTTATTTTAGAATGCTTTTATCAAAATCAGCCGGATCAGTTGCTTTATCTGATTTAGAAAAAAATAAACATTTAGTTTCAATACCTGAATTTTCTCTTGAACAATATCAAAGACCAGAAAATAATATTATTCATTTATCTGGAAAACAAACAGAAGATTTTGATAAAGATTTATTAACTGCTATGTTTTTTGGTAAGACATTTATGTTGCACTCTAATCGATATATCATCATACAAAAGTTAATTCTCATTATATCAATATCATCAAATATTTCATCTTTTTCAAACCACAGTTCAATCAAAATTTCGTTTGATGAGTCGCGCATCTCTTTTATAAGAGAACTTGTTTAGATGTAATGAAAACAGTGTTCAGATTCATTAGTTCCAATGTTGTAATTCAAAATTTTGTTTGTATAATTAATATCTAATTCTGTTAGAAAAAAAAGATACTTTATAAAAAAATTTTTATCATAACTTTTTAAAAACAAGAGGAATGATAAAAGTCAAACAAATATTTCAAAAGACTTTATGATAAAGCTAGATTGAGAATTCTGCTTGATGACGGTCATCAATGTAGGAATTACCAAATGGAGGAAGAAGCAAAAATTCCATATGCCACTGTATACTTCAGCATATTCCAGAAGTACGTCAACAGTATCATCAAGAACTTCTTAGCTATTTCAAGTCTACTATTGGTGTATGTCATGAGAATATTAGTTTAAGTTTATTCAAGAATACAGTCAAATGACTAATTTTATTTCATTATTTTAGTGTTAATAAAGTGACACAAAGTGTTTGAGTTTTCTTTGTAATACGTTTTTAATATAATTTCTTTCGGACTAATGACAAGACATCGTCTTCTCCATTCAATGTTGATCTCGTCGTGATAGTCTTTATCTACTGTTGATCGTTTGAACATCATTGTCTATAAGACAAGATCATTAAATTATGTTTCTTTAGTAGAAAATAGTATATATAAGGAAGTTGTGTAAGTTGAATATAATATAATGACTCATATAATATTCTGTAAAATATATTACTTAAAAAATGCTTATTTCTAGGTGTAATTGCTATAATTGATGAATGTGATTTTTTAAAATTAAATCCATTTTTATATCGATTTCTTTGTTGGTCATCAAGACGAGAACAATATCCATTAACATTTCCAAATTTATATCGTTTTGGTGATCAAGAAATCTTTATTAATTCATCATTTCGTTTAATATTTAATTTTCGTCAAATTAATCGAATACGTATGTATTCAAATATATAAAATCTTATTAGTCGAAAATTTCGTTTTTGTTCTAATAAATTTAGAATGGAAAAATGTCTCGTTAAATAGTCGTTTAATTGATATGAGTTTAAGTTTAAATAAAATTGAAAATGATCTTTGGCTTCGTCTTGTTGAATTAAAATGTCAAAATAATATAATTCAACAAATTCGTTCAAATCAACGAAATTATTTAATTGCATCAAATGAAAAATTTCAACGACGAGTAAATTTTTTAGAAAGTTTTTCTAATAAAATAAAAAAAAAAAATTTTTTTTTTTTTTTAGGAAAAATTAATTGATATACTTGAAACAAAAGAAAATTTAACAATTGATTCTGAAGATTTATTAAAAATATTAAATAATTTTCATAATGATGGAGTAGCAATTGACAATTCTCTTAATGAACATCAAGTTCAACGTGAAATGTTATGTTTAAGAACAGGTTGTGAAGCATATAGAGAAACAGCTAAAGATTTAACACAACTTTATATATTAATAAGAGATTCAAATATTGAATTTAAAATTCCAATAAAATGGTTTATGCAAATTGTAACAAATAATTTATCACGAAGAATTGAAATAAATTCCAATACAACGAATGATAGTTTAGATATGATTAATAAAGTTCATGCAAGAGAAACTTATCTTCGTTGTTTTGAATCAATTTATTCTTATATATCATCAACTATGTCAAATGATTATCTTCAATGTTTTCTTATTATATTTGCATTTATTAAACAAGATAATATTGAAAATTTTAAATTATTTCAATTTATTATTAATAAATTAAATCGAATTAATCAAAAAATAATTCCAAATTTTCTTGATGATCAAAAAAGACCATCATTTATAAATAGTCATTCATGGTTATTATGTATATCGGATGAAATTAATAAAAAATATCCAAATTTATCTCAACATTTAATTGATTATCAACATGAATGGGAAGAATATTTGTATTCAACAACTAAACTTGATTTTATTAATAAATCTCCATTAGAAAAAACAATAACAATTAGTATTATTGATCGATTTATTCTTTCGATTATTTTACAACCTGAAAAAGTTTCACGAATTATTCATTTCTTTTTTTTTTTTATTATTATTTCTTTTTTTCATTTATTTAGATTTTTGAATTAACTCGTACATTCTTGGTTTATCATTATGGTGGTCTTCTTCGTGATAAATCATTATCACCTATTGGTGATGTCTATCAAATAACAAGTAGTGAGATTCTTAAACCGATGAATAATATAATCCTTGTTTGGACAAGTAATTTAACAATGATATGATTGTTGAATAAAAAGACATAGTGAAATATATTCTAGGTTCATCTGCTTTTGTTGATCCAATTGATGAAATTCGTATATTAGCCAATAAAATGAAACAATCTCTTCGACTTGTTTCATCAGTTGATAAAAAACGTTTAAATCGTTTTATTCAAAGTAAAAAAGATTTTTGGTTAATTATAACAGATATTCATTTATTCAATGATGATCTTTTACAAATTCGAGTAAAAATAAATCAAAAAAATAATATTCATTTATTCATATTGATTATTCTATTTAGGACTTTATTTTATCATCAATTGATAATAAAATTTGGCTTGTTTGTGATCCTTCATATTCATCTAATGTTCCTCGTAAGTTTAAAAATAAATTTTTTTTTTAATGAATTGATTTATAATAACATTATTTTAAGTATGGTTAACTCAACGATGTTTACAAGTTTATTTAAGTGATTCAACTCAATCATCTCTTAATCTTCGTTTACAACAAAAAAATTTATCAGAAAAAAAATTTACAAATTTCGAAAAACAAATGGAACAAATTACTAATATTCATAGTTATATAATAACAAAAAAAGTTTTTTCAAATAATTCAATGAAGTATTTTCTATTTAAATATTTTTATATTAAATCTTTTCTTTTCGTTTTTAATTTAATAGTTTTACAGAAAATGATTTTTATATTGATTTAAAACATTGTTTTGAAACAAATCAAATAACAATGATTGATTATAGAAATTATATTCAATATGAAGATGAACAAATATTTATTAATTATATAAAACAAGTAAATTTTTACATTTTTTGTTTTTATTAATTTATTTATTTCATTTTATATTTAGAGTATTGATCCATTAAATCTAGTTAAATTAATAGCTGATCCATTGCAATCAATGAATAATGATTTATTCTCGATATTTGAACGTTTATTTGAAAAAATAATTTTATCAAATGAAAAAAATATTTCAACGAAAGAAGATGATATGCTTCTTGCTGAATCAATTGTTCGTAGTTATTTAACGCATTTTCGTTCGATTTATTCTTCTCAACATCATTCAATATGTTCATCTTTAATTGATTTATTTATTAATTTTGAATATCATTTATTAGAATCTTTACAAAATAATTTATGTCATCAAATGGAATATTTATTAGAAGTTTTTGCTGGCATTGATATTTCTTTATCAAATACAGATTCATTTATTCATTCAATTTTATATGAATCGAATTCTAATATTAAACATTTTGTTGCAAATTATGGTTTAGCTTTGAAAAATCTTGGTGAAATGAAATCAAATAATGTTAATCTGAGATTTATTCGAAGACGAAAACAATTTATTCAAATAATGCGTCTTGAACAAGCTCGAAAACAAGATGATGATCTTGTCTTTCATGTAAGTTATTCTATTCAAATAAGAATAGTCTTCTACTTGAGATTTATATTTTAGTTGAAATATGATGGAAAAACAGAAACAACTAATGTTATCACTTTATCAGGTGTTCATTCAACATCAAATATTAACAAAAAAGATGTTATTATTTATCTTGATGAAACATCTTCGAATGATACAAGTCTAATATCGACTATTACATTGAATACGAATGATAAAAATACTCCATGTTATCTTCCAGTTGTTCATGGTGATACAAAAGATAAACCTGAGCTGATTATTTTTTTGTCCATTGATAAACCTTATCTTTAACAGAATATATGAAATTATGTTATTTGATGCCTTTATATATATTTCTTTTTGTATTTTTCATTTTGCCGGTTTTTTAAAAGAATATAAATTAAAATAATTGAACATAATTAGTGACATAATAGCAAACGAAAAATTAGAATTCGGTAACCTAATTATCAGGCATATCTTAAGAGTTTTTATTTCTTTATGAAGTTTAGTACTTTGGTGTTGTTCATGATTAGTCTTATTTTTTGTGAAATTTTCAAGTAAAGTCATCGCTATAAAAATTCTATTTCTTTAATTGGTATTGTGTTCATGTTATCTAGATTTGTCGAAAATGAAAGATGATGCGACGATGAATGTCATCTTTTATGTGAATCTTCTCTTCACATAGATCTTTGTCCTTCCTCGTTGCCCATTACCTCCTATACCTATCATGAAGACTGCACATAAACCCATACGATGGTTTATAAGTGTCGTAATCTTTGTTCTGGGTATATTCTGACAAAAAAAAAGACAACATTCATTTATATATTTAGCAAGCCGAACTTCTTCAATGTTAAGTAATTTATTATTGATTAGCTAGCATCGGTAGTTTTTGTTATAGAAGAATTATGGTTCTTTCTTGATAACGATATCATACACAACATTGCCAAGTAACACAAAAACTATATTAAAAGTTCTATGAGCAATTTGAAAAAGTTTCAATTCTTAGCCAATCAATCTATGAAGGTTACGAACACAAAACATCTATCAACATATTTTCTGAACAATTGTTTTATTCGCTTTGCTGTTTCTTCTTTTTAATGAATCTAACTATTAACTTACGTTCAATGGTTTCAAAACAAACCACTCAGTGTAAATATAGCAAAAGCTGTTTTTTTCTCAGTCATTTCTACTAAAATAGTTGCCCATAGTGAGCGGTGGTTAGTTTTTACTTTCAAGCATTTTTTTCTCTTGTCATTCGACAACATTGTATTTTGATAACTAGCTAACTTATTGGTCTTTTGTTCATCATAGTTTCGTTTAACAAATCCGCATGCATTGAATTTCTTTTTTAATCATTTTTCTCTAAGTTAGCTGAACCATACATGAGCAGGTAAATTTGTTGTGATCAAATTTAAAAAGCTATTTTATGAATATTTTTCGTTTGTTTACATGAAAGTTTTTTTTGATTTGCCTCTTATATCTCTTACTGTAGTATCTATTTCTCATTGATATAATATAATACCTTGTCTGCGAAGGAAATCATTTCGAACTTGCCGAAAAATTGTCTTTTTTCTGATAGTAAAGCTATTAGTTTTTTTTAACTTCTTGCATATTTTTTGTCTTTAATCTTTCAATTTTTTCTATGTGTACTCTTGATTCTTCTAAGTTTGGTTTTTTGACACTGTGATTAATTGAGTTAATGTTTATTTCAATAAATTTCAATTCTTTTTCGTTTGTAAATTTTTTATTTATCTTTGTGAGAACATAACTATTGTGAATCAATCAAAATTCCAGTTCATAGATCTCAATGTTGTTCTACAAAGTTCTCCTGTATGAATTTTTTTATACGATATTCTGTTTTGAGTAAATAGTATTACTTTTAAATGAATAAGAAAAACTCATTTTTTTAATGAAACTGGAGTATATCTCCCCCATGTAAAAATAAATCAAGAAAAAACGGGATTTTAATCGATTTTTTTGTGATTAGAAATCGATTAAAATGAGACGATTTTAATCAGATTCCTTGATTTTTAATCAGTTTTAATCGCGTTAACGAAAAACTGCGTTTTTCTCGAGTTCTAGCCCAGAAATCATAGCTTTTTATTGCTTTTTCTGACTCCTCTCGTCGACAAATAGTAGGTACAGCATCAAACCAACCTCGGTCAGACATCCCAGAATTTGCGAGATGACAACGATCTGTGCTTACGCATTCTTTGGTTATCGTGATNATAGGAGAAATTAAAATTTTAATTTGCTGCAGGGGAAACTAAAATCTTAAACCTTTCTTATGAGATGGAGAGAAAAAATCCAAGATTTTAATTTCCCCTGTAACATATATTAATAGTATTTTATTGCAATTTTTTTGAAAAATGTTCGAAATCAATTGTTATTCATTTCCATAATGATTTTTCAGAATAACTCAGATTAAATAAAGAACTGGAACATTGAACATCCCAAGAGGGAAGGGCGGACTTTTGTACTTGAAGTAACTTTGACTACTTTGAAGTACTTCAAACTACTTTGAAGTAACTTTGACTACTTTAAAGTACTTTAAGCTACTTTGAAGTACTTCAAGCTACTTTACGCTACTTTACGCTACTTTACGCTACTTTACACTACTTTAAACTACTTTAGACTACTTTTGTACTTTGATGTACTTCTCGACTTGAAGTACGCCGTGTCCCCCTTGGTCTAGAGTCGATTTAAGAACTTTCTTATATTCAGTTTTTGATGATGAATCTGGAAAAATTATTTTCAAAAGCAACAAAAAAGAATAAAGTAGGAAATTTTGCACGCTTCGAGAAAGAACGTGTTTTTCTCGAAAAACGACACTGTTCGAGTATTTCGTATTTTTCGACCAGAAGGAAGCATTTGCTAAGGCTAAAAAGTAGTTTTTCGTGATCAGCAGCCCAAGCTCTATCCGATGATGTGAAAAAAACGCGAAAAAGTTTTTTTACTGAAAATTCGCATTGCCGACACCTTATGTGTATGATCTTATTTTGAATTTGTTCATCTGAAATGATATAATTGCTAGTTTAATAGTGATGTCTAGGATCGTATCTGCGCAAGATATTTCTTAACATATTATGTCTCAATTAACCGAAATTGTCGAAATTGATTTATTTTAAGAATTAAAAGATTTAAAATAGACGTGTTTAAGAAGAAGTGGATTATATGTAACGAAATATATTTGAAGAATTTATGCATTGAAAATAAAAATGCAAGTAAACGAGGAAAGTATCAATCTATTTGTTAAAATTATGTTCCTAGTCATATTAAAAAAATGTCTATTTCAGTCGCATGTGTGTAATTTTGTGTATCGTGTTAAGCTTTCTTTTTACTGAATGAGTATTATTTTCTCATTGATCACTGACTATCTATTAAAAAGATTATTAAGTTGTGTATTTTAATTGCTTGCATTAAATGTAATTCGTAACAGAAAAGTCGAATTGATGACATCCGTTCCTGAATCATCTTCATCTCATGAAACAATATCTTCTAAATTGAACGTTAATAATTTCGGAAGATATTCAATTATATGGCTTGATAATTCAATCAATAGCCAGAACAATATAGATACTCGAAAAAAAATTCAATCATCAATCAACTATTTACAAATATTCGAAAAACTTGATGAATGTAAAAAATATATTCAATCAGTTTCTTCAAAACATCGAATTATCTTAATTGTCAGTGATTATTTTGGTCAACAATTAATACCTGAAATTCAAGATCTTCCACAAGTTTTTTCAATTTATATATTTTGTGCAAATGAGCAATGCCATTATCAATGGAGTAAACAATATCAGAAAGTAATTCTTCTTTTCTTATAAGTCTATTGTTGATCGAATTCTTGTTTGATATTAGGTAAAAAGTGTTCATAATCAATTAGATGATGTGATCGATAGAATACGATCTGATCAATCAAGAAGAAAACAAGATAAACCTGATGAACCATTATCAATCAGTATTTGCAATTCAAATAAAAATTCTGAAAAATCTACAACTGAACTTGATGGTCAATTTGTTCAGTCACAACTATTAATTGCTTGTCTCCTTAAAATGAAAACTACTTCAACAGATAAAAATGAATTTATCTCAGAATGTCGAAAAACCTATAAAGATAATAAGGCACAACTTATATATATTGATGAATTCGAACGCGAATATGAACCAGAATATGCATTATGGTGGTATACGAGAGAAACATTTCTGTATCGTTTATTAAATAAAGCACTTCGTGCTCAAAATATTGATTTACTCTATCTCTTTGGTTTTTTTATTCGTGATCTTGAACAAGAACTGCAAAACCGTCGATATATGTCACCTATTCATGTGTATCGTGGTCAGTTGATGTCTACTGAAGAACTAAATTTATTGAAAGATTCAAAAGATAAATTAATATCGGTGAATTCATTTCTTTCAACTACATTTAGTCTTAAAATGGCTGAGGTGTATCTCGATTCATCGAATAATGATAATATGTTTCAAAAAGTTTTATTTGAAATATGTGCTGATCCTCGTCAAGATGATATAAAACCATTTGTTGATCTTTCACAAATCAGTTTGTTTCCTGACGAAGAAGAAATATTAATGATGTTAGGATCAGTCTTTCGTCTGACAGATATTCATCTTGATGATAATAATAATATATGGCATATTAAAATGAATTTATGTAGTGATAATGATTGTGATTTACAAAAAACTTTTTTTCATATGAAAAATCAATATGGTTTGAGCAATACTCGATTAACTTTATTTGCAAGTGTTCTTATCGATATGGCTAATTTCGATGATGCTGAGAAATATTTAGGTCGATTATTACAACAAATATCTTCTCAAGATAGACATATTTATAAATGCTATCATGCCCTTGGAAAAGTATTATTTGAAAAAGGAGATTATAATTCAAGTTTAGATTATCTTACGCAATCTCTTGAAATTCTACAAAACTTTAAGTCAAATAAACCTCAAACTGCATACATTTATAACAATATTGGTGAAGTTTATCTAAGGAAAGGTGAAATCAAATTAGCATTACAATCATTTGAAAAAGCATTGGACATTTTCAAGGAGACATTCACCGATGATAAGGAAAATATTGCTTGGTGCTACAATAATTTAGGTATAATCTGTCTAGAACAGAAGAATTATTCTGAAGCATTGAATTATCTTATGAAAGCATTGAATATTAAACAGAAAATACTTCCTGATGGACATCCTTGTTTGGGTAATACATACAATAATATTGGTAATATACATTATTATTGTCATGAATATGATCAAGCACTAGAAAAATATAAGTTATCCTATGAAATTTTTAAAAAATCCCTTACTCCTCGACATCCTTCATTTGCAAGAGTACTCAAAAATATAGGTGTTGCTTATGAAGCTAAAAGGGATTTAATTGAAGCAAAAAAAAATTACGAAGAAGCATACTATATTCGTAAACATAATCTAGCTTCATCACATCCTGATTTTATTGAAATTGAAAGTGATATTAAACGTGTATCACTAAACATAAAATAAACATTTTATCCTTCGATAGATTAACAATACAATATTTCAAAAAGAAAAACATGAATTTATATCTTCTATATATAAATCATTCATTCAAATGAATCAGAATAATGATATTATAGAATAAACATAAAATAATACGATTATATTCTAGTACTTTCGAGCTGTTCAAGTTTCATACAAACCGTTCGTTCAGCCACATATTGTCGTTTTCTAAATATAGAATATTTGCTTTTTTTCTTTTTCGAAATAAATTCTATCCTCAAGTAATTTACTTTTTTTTAGCTATTATAGAATAATGTCAGGTATTTATTTTCTAATCTTTGTTTATGATAAATCAGTATCTAATCAATTTAGTAGTTTAAATATGATTAATGAAACTAGTATTCTGCCTATATATCTACTCATGTTAATTTTATTATACAGTTTTTTACTATCAAACAGTAAAATATCAATATCAGCATTAGGAATATCAAATTGTTATAGCGATTTAACTATGTGAGAGAAGTTGATTTATATTGATGTCTTATTGAACTTCGTATGTTTTCTTTAATTTGATACAGTTATGTCAATATATATGCAACATATAACAACTATCAAGCCTAATTTATTAATAGGTCTATATCCCAGTAATATTCCTCACGACCTTTGTTAACATGAAGATATAAAATGCGAAAAATGAGCAATCTTGTTTTCTAATTATGCACTGTTATCAAGAAGAATGGTCTCCAATTTCTTGAATTTTGATTTTAATTGATTGTACTATGATAATATTATCAAACCATTACAAATTCTGAACAATCAAGACAATCTTTTGAAAATTAGCAATTATACAAGTCTTAGAATTTTTCAATCTCGAAAGTTCTCATGTTTCTTGATTGTTCTGCATTACATGAGCACTATATGTGCCTCCAATAATAACTAATTTGTTCATTCAAATGCTTAAACCAAAACAATTCATCGAAAACCATAGGATTTTATTATCTCATAATAAATTATTCAAGAAGAAGTGCAAGTAATTTGTCTTCAAGCAAGTTTTTGAAATCCTGGCTTTTCTAAAGCTTTCGTGCATCTATTGGCGCAACCACAAGCCGGTCTACAGCACTTTTCATCGACAGCGCATTCACTATCTCTTGCGCAACCATTGGTTTGTCTTGAAGCTTGTAAATTAAGAAAATTAGGCGCGCAATAAACGGCACACATCATCATATGCATTGGACAATAGCCTATAATAGAAACAAATTTTTATGTTCTATTGAAATTCTCGCGAACTTACCAGCATGAGCTTGTTGAAGCTGTCGTTTTTTAAGTGCTTCAGCACTAAAACATGAAAGTACAACGAATAAGAGTATTGCAAGAAGACGCATTGTTGAAGTAATGTGGCTAGCAGTATATGTGGGAATAACAATAGCAGTGACAATTTATAGGCATATCAGATGCACATTCACATTCACATCTGTGCTTTTTCTCTTTGCTTCCTGTGCTTAATCAAAAAGCATCGCGTAACCTAAATTAACTTGTTTTTCCAGTTTTGATAAATAAAAATCAAGATGAAATACGACTATACACTGCTTCATTTTATTTTTAATGCATAAAGTGTAGAGTGTGAGGGTGAGGGTGGGTGAGAACCTTCTCATCGTTCAAGACCCACGCCCTCAAAATATTGCACAAACAGAATGCATATTATAATCGAAACACAGACAATGTCACTAATCAGTCGCTGACTCCATCTTCAACGGTGTGCAAGAAAAGCCAAGACACAACAAGTGGCCGGTTTATCGATCACAAGTGCGATTCTCGACTAGCATAGGAATAAGTCTAATTTTGCTGGCTTCTGGCGAAAAACCTATGTTCAACAAATCGTGTAACGTGTAAAGCATTGTTTTTTTTAACTCATTGCTATCAATCATGAACGTATATTAAGTTAAGATTGTGCACGTTAAAATGAAACAGAAACGAATACGTTACTCCAACAATCGCACAACTTAAAAAACAAATGTATAAACGCAGAAAAAAATAAAAATAAATAGTAATTTTTGTCATTCAATCGCCGTTCTCGTCTATAAGCAAAAAAACTGATAAAAAAGAGCTCTCAAAAATAGTCAATTTTCACTTCATTTTGTCGTTTTCTTTTTCAGTCAACAATTAGAGAAGTCACTCAAACATTTTCATAAATGCTCAAACTATCGATTTTGAACATATTTTCACGCAGGTTACGAAGAGTATCTTGCTAAGGCCAAAAAAGCCTTATGACTTTTTGCATTTACATATAGGAGTGGCATTGTATCTTTACTGTAACAGGTAAAGTAAACTATAGTAACTTTACTGAAAAAAGTAAACAATAGTTAAGAAAATATAATAGAGCGAAATATTATAATGCATATTTTGGGTACTTTCTTAGTTCAATATCATGAGCTGCTAACAGTGAAACATATGACAATTTTTTTTCAAAATTATTTTGCCATCAAAGAAGTAGACAGAAAGTAAAGCTAAGTTGGAAAATATTAATTCTTTGTCAGTGTATAACATATATTGTTTGCCCTATTTATCTTTTTGCTCCCATTTAAACATCAAGATTTTAGTGTATTTTACGTCGCTTTTTCAAGGTAGAATTAAATTAAAGTGCTACTCCTATTCCCGAGCACCTGTTTTAAAACTAGTAGTTTTCAATTTTTGTGCGTTTTTGAATACTTAAAAATTGCGCTTCTAAAAAACCTGAAGGTGCGTATATTTCGATATTATAAAGACAGATTTCACTGCATAGGTGAAAATACGTTAAAAGTCGTTTTTTTAAGTCCATGCACAAGTTTCTGAGTGTATTCTGTATTTCTTGACCAGTTGAAAACAGGAAAATAAACTTCGATCCAGGAGATCAATCGTTTTTTGCGAGCTTTACTCCACAGCTTTTCGATTATGATGAAGAAATGCAATGGCAAGCAAAAACACAACAATTTGCCTCACGTTTTTGCTCGTTTACGCACATCTTTGAAGATTGCAGGACTGGCCTAAAAATAAATAGGAGTGTACCGGACAGAAACGAATGTTCGAAAAGATAGTCTCAGTATCCATAGTAAAAAAGTGTTCAGTCTTGGTGATTGTGAGCTCTTTTTTTCACAAAAGACTAGAATAAAAGATTGATTGAGCGTATAATCTTTTTAGAGCCTCGGAGTACGGAATAATCGAAGTCTAATGTCGCTTCTCAAATTTGTTCCTGACATAATACCCATTTTCAAGACCGAACTGTCGGGATCAAACAGTTTCCGTTTGCTGCTCCTAGTAGAAAAATTTACAGCTTACACATGGACAATGACAGAAAAAACGAAAAGAAATTTTTTCAGTATAAGCAAAAACCCATTTTTGTAACGTGTACAAAAATGTGTTGAAAAGTAAGTTTTTTGAGTATTTAGAAAAATATTCGAGCGACTTTACTAATATTAATTACATAAGTTTGAGTGAATGAATTGAAAACTAACCGTTTTTTTCTTGGAGTTCTTTTTTCAATCGTTCTTCTTTGGCAACCAAAAACAGCGATTGTGACCGAAAAAGCAGCCGCTTTTTATTTTATTTTGTTTGTACATAGTTCTGAGGATAACATTATCGTTCAGGGAGCAGTGCCATTGAAGACTATCAATCATTCCCGTGGCACAAAATCTCTTTGTGACTCTTGATAAGCTTTCCCAAGCAAGCGAGCTTTGTCTTACATCAGAGAGTTTTTCATGTACCTATTTTTTCAAAAAAGGTTCCATCAAACTCATTTCAATACATCAGATTTGCATTTTTCTTGCGAATAATGTCATTCGAACGCTGTAATCATTCAATGATCGATCGATACTTCTTTGTTTGTTGATACATTCAAATGAGGAACGATGATTTCTGAATCCATTGATCTGTGTAGTTTTGATGCATTCTCAGGCTGTTGCGTTTATATATTTTTATTATTTAAGGGTCTACGATGTCTGTATTATCGAACAAATACTTGATCTAACATATATGTGACTACAACAAAGAGTACTATTGTAGAGTAGAAAAGATTGAATTTTTGTCTGGTATCATCCATGTTTTTATTAACGAACAAGGAGATAATTCACTTGGTATGTTCAGAGTGAATTGACGATCTAGAAATATGTTATAATAACCTATTGATGCCTAGGTTCTCTTCAAGATCCGATGCATTCAATGCTGGGCATTGTAACTGAATTCGTTTTATCGGAAGGTAAAAAGCCGATTGACAGAAATTTTTCTGTTAGCGATCCGACTCGACAATATTTAGGTAAGCATTATATGTTTCTTTTCATATATTTATTATATATTCTTTTTTAGGTTATCTTGATTTTGCACTGGATAATTCGTGTTTTAATGGCCAACCGACTATTGGCTTTGAATACGGTAGTTTTGGTTACTCAACTGCAAAACTCTTCCGATTTGATCAAGAGTTGATCGATACATGTAATTTAAAACCTACATAGAAATGTGTTCAATGCTCAATTATACAAATATTTTCAGTAGTAACAATGTCGTAGAAAAACAAATAGATTAAATGTAAAACTCTGTTTTCTTTTAACTTGACAAATTCATTTAGATAAATCTATGAATTTTCAAAAGGCTTTTATTTATATTACTGTAAGAATAAGCCAAATTTTAAAAGATTATTGATAATTATTGATATTCGAAAATTTTGACCCATGAATTTTCAATAATTTGTTAAAATTTGACTTAATGTCCTGCTATATTGACAAGCTTTGCATCATTGGTTGTTTCATGTAAAGGAAATTCGTATGTTCCGACGAAATACACAATGTAGCAATATTTTCAACTTGTCACGAATTTTACGCTTGAGAAAAGTGCATTCTTAGAGTCATACTTCTCTTTGTCATACAGTAAAACTAATGTGTTACCCAGCGATAATCGATATAAAAAAACGAATTGAATCAAAGTCAATGGATTCACTTCTCAAATAGGTAATTCAAAATCCGTTGTTGAGAGTATGGATGAAGTCTCGTCTTTACCTACATCCTGAAGTAGAATTTCGTTTCTACTAGGTCCACTTAGGTTCTTAATGGCATTCATCTGTCCTCTTTGCTCATCAATAGACTCTGAAAAGCATTAAACAAGACGCCTTCATTTAGACCCGTGAAGAAAACTATTTAAGAGTGTTGATGCGAGTGAAAATAGATGAATGATTGCGAGAGTGGATGAGGGTGTGGAAAAAGAAGATCTTCACACTTATCCATACTTTCTAAATCACTCTTCGCTAAACAAAGACAAGCTAGACAAGGCTTATTATGTGAGTTAATTCATGCTATCTAATGCTCTTTGCGGATATAGATAGAAATGTAAATGAGCGTGAAAAGAAGACCCTCAACTCGCACTCACCTATTCATACTTGCAAACAGGATTATCGAAAACAATAATAGTGTTATTAATCGTAGTTTATTTCTCCAAGACTTTTGTACACTAAAATATCTATCTGTGTATATCTACAGATTTCAGACTATTAAGACATGTTTCGATATTCATCAAGGATTTACCTGATAAATATCTGATATCTATCAGAAAATGTATTCGCAGATCTTCTTTGGAATTATGAAGATAATAACCATTCTGATGACAATAACCGCATTCGAAATAATTCTTCTTAGTTAACTTCATCACACAGCTAAAACATTGAGCTCGACATTTCGAATCAATAGAAATATCGAAGAACATAATAAGAACAACAACAATTTCATGGTTTTCGACTCATAAGAGTTAAATGTTTACCAGCGAATCTAGTACATATTTTCGATCGATGCGTGAGATCATGTGTCAACATCGGATGCGAAGATGTTAAATAACGGCAAGTAATTTCAATTATGCATTATTCGACATGTTTGCATGTTTCTCGTATAACAAGATTAACTCAGAACATATGGATTTCTGAAAGAATTCGTAAGAAATGTTAATTTTCTTCTCACTAAGAAATTAAAAGAACACTTGAAATCGTTCGATATTGATTGATTGTCTTCATGCCTGAACGATAAGACTAGTCATCAATTAAACACGAGACACTGAGACAAATAGATCTTTCTCGAATGGACAAGACATTCATTTTTCAACCTATCTATCGATCATCAAAAGGATGTATATGCAAAAGTGTAGGAGTCTATGTTTGACTATTTCATTAAGATCTTCCAATGAATTATTGTATATGATGTAACTAGATATATTGATGTAGGATGTATATGTGAACGACGTTTAGTTTATCCATACTAACATACAGAGCCCCTACACTCTTTCAACTTACGGATATAGACAAAAACTTCTTCGTTGGATATATAGACTTGTACATATTCATGGTAATCATCGTATCTCTCCTATTATATATGTCAATACATTTTCTCTGAGACTCAAACTGAATCAGAACAATCCAGCACTGCTAAGTTAAAATGCATGCATGTATATCCTATAATATGCCAATAGAACGATTTAATTCGTCTAGTAGTCTGATTTTGATCGTTTTGTGTTGTTTATTGTCCTTTTTCAAATAAATTTTTGAAACATATCTTCTACATATTTATTATTCAAAAGAATAAGATTTTGAAAAATTCAAGAACTCTAACAACTTTTATCTTTTCGTTTTGATAGAAAACAAAGATAATGTGTTCAAAATTTTTCATAAAACATCAGTGAGCAATATAAAACTAAAGTTAGTGAAAGATGAATCAATATATTTATATAACATTTCATCATATGTATATGTTGATATGAACAACTTTAGAAAATTTATTCAGCGACAAGTGAAATTAGAAAGAACCTTCACATTAGCTATCTATTGAGGAAAAACGTTCCACTTTTCTTTTCTGTAAAACTTTTTTATTTACAATAAATATATTCATTTTCTCATCAGAAGAACTAAGTAATAAAAGTTTCTAAAATTCAATTGTTTCAATACATGACGTAAATGTTGAAAATTAAAAACATGCTATTTGATAAAAGAACTTCAATTAGAAAATCACCAATCAATTAGTAAATCTAAACTAAGGAATGAAAAGAAAGAGTTAATCGTCTATTTATTTATACAAAATTTATATGTTCAAATGTAACTAGTAAATGAAAGACTACAACAAAAAGTTATTTAAGATTACGATAATGTGATCGTTGTTTAACTGATAGATGCTCAACTGCATAACTAAGCATAGTACGTGGCATTTGAGCAGCATATTGATCAAGAAATGAAGTGAGTACTTTTTGACTAATTCTTTTGCCTGTTTCACGCAACATCCAACCAACAGCTTTGTGCATTAGAGGTTCTGGATCATTCAAAAGTTTCTTAGCAAGTTCAAATGTTGTTGATCCATCTTTTCGTTTTATAAAAGCCAATGTAGCAATCATAGCTGCTCGTCTTTCCCATAATTGAGTACTTGAAGCTAGATCGAAAAGTAATTGACGTGGTCGATCTTCAAGATAAGCACCTAATAAGTGTTCAGCTGATGTATCTACTAAATCCCAATTGTTCACTCGACCACGTTTAAGTGCCTTGATGTAGAAGTTCGAAAGTTCACAACGAAGATTATCATCACGTGATGATGCCTTGCTAGCAGCCAGAAAACGGTAGACTAGAATAAAGAGAGCAGCTTGACGATGTTCGTGAATGGAACTGTCTAATAGACAATCAATTTCGACAAGAGGAAGAGCAGAAAAACGTTTAGTCACGATTCGATTAGCAGGTACACGAACACCAATAAATATATCACCTTCACCATATTCACCTTCACCTGTCTTAAAAAATCGTTGCAGTGTAGAAACATTTTTTGGATTAGCTTGTTCAGCAAGAGCAGCCTTTACTGCTTCGGCTGTCTCGTTATTCATCTGAAACAAATTTAATCAATTAAGACAAGCCTTTCTTGACAATTGTGAAGAAAAACATACATTTCGCGTATGTATCAATTTTTCAAGAGTAAATATACACTGTTGTCGAGTCATGTTTTGATTAAAATATTTCAGACAAGTATGAAATTGATGCATAAAGCTTTTTTATTATACAGAAGATTTTCCTAGAAAAAAAATTGAAGGTCTTATAGTAAATTTCAATTTTCATTGTTCGACCTTTGATAAAAACAAAAACACTTTTTCGTTTGAAGAATACTTAAGAATAGTGCAGCAAAGGCGCGAAAAGAGAAAAAATGAAAAAGTTCATCTAATTAATATTGATGTTAGAAGATACAGGCTGCTAGTAAGCTTGAAGAATATTCTAATATAGAATCATAGTTAGACAAGCAATCATTTGAAGCAGAAGAATAACATTGATCTAAATTGTTTTTGTCGTTCTATTCTTATGTCAGTATATTGCACAACACTAAAATAACAAGTGACATAAAACTATGGATGACGTTTTGAAATCAATTGAAATCTAATAACAGAAAATGAGAAAATCTTCCACTTAAAATAAGCAAAGGATTTGTTTCAAATTCTGAACTAAATAAAATGTATTGAAAACTAAGTCAAGAAATGATAATAATCAGTAAATAAGTAATCTAATTGTGGCGGAACAATGTTATCTTGGAAACATTGTTAAATAGCTGCAGATGAATCATAATTAGATATAAAACAGTCTTTTCTCCACATTCGTTGCCGCTTGAACCAACGTTAATATTCCTTAATTGAATTTTGTATAACTTTAAAAGTATGACGCAGAATTTTTCGACATTGGTAAATCTTTATAGATTTTATTCATGGACAATATGTCTATCAGCTAAAGTTAAAGTAGTCCAATATGTACCTTAGAAATCTAGATGGCGTCAGATACAGTCTATAATGTATTAGCTCATAATATTTTTTCCTTTTTTTCGTAATGCATTAAATTCTGAAATGAATAATCTTACTTTTCGATCAACTAAATAAATTAAATGCTTATTGTTCACTTCAAAAATGGCTTGCTCACAATATCATCAATATCTATTTCTTTTTTCATTGTTTGCTATAATGATAGTACGTGGTTCTTATACGATTGAATATATTATGACTTCATTAATGGCACTTTATGTATCCTTCAATTTTTTCGTAACATATTTCTAATTAATAGATCAAACTTGAGAGTATACTTGGTTATTTCATGTAATGACTTACAAAATTCGAATGGAGACAGTTAATTAATGACAGAATAGATTGATGAAATCTTCACTAAAATTGTTTCATTCTGTCCTATTTAATATTGTCAGTTGAAATGAATTGATGCTCAACAAACTTTATCTCATTACTTATTAATTTATGTGCTAGATTTTTCTTCTTTGATTAGTGTAGTATCAATCGTAATGGTGGTAAAGACAAATGTGAATTTGTCGTTATATATTATCGTCTCTGTGTTTTTTGAGTCACCGAATAATAAGAGATTCTGACAAACCAATAAAAAAATGTATGATAGGTATTTCAACACATATTTAGATCATGTCAGTTATGTTACTCGACGAAAAAGTGTTCGTTTTATCTTATCGCATATTTTACAAACATCTAGATTCATGACATCTATAAAAATTGACAAGTAATATTCATTTAGTTTCTGAATCAAATGCTTATTGTGCTATGATTACAAATACTTTTTCTCAAGATTCTAAGTAGAGTGTGAGTATGAGTGTGTTGAAAGGAATGAGAATACCAACATCGATACCCAGCAAATTCAAGCGAGACAAATTTGCCTCTATACAACTCTGCTAATTCGAGATATCAGAACAAAAATTAAATCAGGCACTCTTACATTACTTTTATAGCATGTTTTACGTTTTTTTCTTGATTGTAGATATAGCATATTGTTAAGATAAAGATAACGATGCTGCATAATTCTAATTCTAAAGGAATTAATTAATTTGAGAAAAAATGAAGAAACTTGTCTATATTGCATATTTTTTTAATCTTTGAAAATTGCTTTTAACTATCAAACTATTGAACAAGTATGGTGACACCAAATCTTGCCAAAGATCTATACACATATTTAGATTGAATCGAATAGATAAATAGTTAAATAATTAAAACTAAATTTCAATAGTTCAAAACAAAGTTTATTGCTATTTTTCCCATAGTGAAAAAGAAACAAAGAAAGTCATGTAGCATTGATGTATTGACTAACATATTTAGTATGCTTTCAAACACACCATTAAATGTAATTTACTTATTTAAAAATAATTTATACTCAAAAGAAAAGTGGAAATCTTTTCGAACTTGTTGAACTCTTGGTCTGCTTTCTTTTTTTGATTAAAACAGATACTGTTGAATTTTTATGCATATCGATTTTCAAGCCTATTCCAAAAACTTCATAGTCTTTCAATCTATTTGTCTTTTTCTCATCTTGTCATTGCCTAAAAATAAGTACATTATTGAAATCTTTTAAGTCCATTTTTGAAGAATCGATGAAAGATTAGGGATAATGAATTTATCTGCTAGTAGCATAAAGTAATTGTTCTTTTTGGGCAGCACAAAGTAATTATTTGCGTTACGAATAGAGGATAGTTTTAGATACATATATTTGCAATTGAAGTTATTAAAGTTTCGAAAGCAATAAAATAGTATGTTTTAATATGAGCTTATATATTTATAATCTTTTCCTTTCTAGCTATAATTAAACAAACATTCGGAATGATTAATCAATGGATACATATGCTCATGTAAGAAAGACAAAAGAATTTGAAACTTAATTATAATATCGTTTTTCAAGAAGAAATAATTCATATTATGACATGAACTTAATCATGTTCAAAAACTAACACAAAATAATCAGTTTTATACTAACTTTAATTATACTTGTTCATAGTTTATTTCCATAATTTATATCACCAATTGTTTTTATTATTATTCTCTCGTTGATGTTATAATCGTATGAAACAATAAGATAAAACAACAATTCTTCTTTTCGTTAATATCTATCTATCTATTTTAATATATATATGATAATATTATCATCAACAAATATACAAACAATGTTAACAGATTTATTTAGGCAAGATTTTAATTCATAATGATACACATTTGTAAGACATATCCTTTGTTATTTTTTGTGTTTTATATCATTCTTTTGCCAATCAATTAATTGTTAATTTTGCACAAACCAAGTTTTTTTAAAGTGTCAGAAAAACGGTACAAAACAATAGTCATTCTTATACGATATAAAATCTAAAATACTTTTTCTTGTGACAGTTTTAGCCGTTCTTTCGTTTATCTTGTCTTGTATAATCACAGTATAGATGGCTTCGACTTCACTGGTTCTTTATTAATATATCTTTTATTAAATTAGTTTTATCTTTTGCTCTTCTTTTCTCTTTTCTTTTGTTTCCATTATGTGATTTATTTACCAGATGAACATTATTGTTATGCAGTATTTATGAATTTTCTTGTACTAAACTTTAGGTAATATTCATAACTTATGGCATTCCTATATCTTATTTATTTGTTATGTGTACCCATATTAGAGGATTTATTGGACAACAATCAAATAATCAAATATAAGCAATAAAACGTAGACAAGTTCGATATTTGCTGACTATTCAACGTATTCTTATCACTCTTGGTGTATTAGTTTTTCTTGAAATGTCGAGTTTCATTTTGATCATAATATGAACTATTATTGGTGAAAAATATCCTTTGAGTTTTCTTATTACATGGATTTCATATTTTGTGTCTAGGACACGATTCAGATTAGCAATGATTTTTTTTTCATCCCAAAATCATTTACTTTTAATCTTTTTATTATCAACTGTATATAGGCTGAACACATTCAATTTAGTTATTTGTGAATATGTAAATAATGTTGCTTTGTATTGAAAAATAGTTTTTTAATGTTTATGTCTTCGTTTGTTCATATTAATTGTCTTTCTTGTGCGATGAAACAGTCGAAAAAAATGGTTTTGCTGTATTTCACTTTTCTCAATTATAGAAACAATTTATCATCTGCACTTTGAACTACCTATGAACACACTTTAAGAGTATATGAAAAGGTCAAATATTAAAATGATTTCATATTTGAAATGCGTGCAGATATGCATGCTTATTGAAACGTATTTCAATGTATGTGATTATATGAGACAACAATGTTTACATGTAGCTCAAGCCTGTTTTTAATGCATCTCAATACATATGTTATACAATACATATGAATCTTTATAAACATAGTATGTTTATTTCTATTTGTAGGAAAAACATCCTTTTATTTTGTATTGCAATATGTTGCTATTGAGTCACAGTACAATAGTTGCGCCTCCTCTTCTTATCTCTAGAAATTTTTTTAATTCTATATATCGCCTCTTAACTCGCATGCTTTATTATTTTTACTTTTTTTTCGGATCTTCACATCGACTGTATGAAAAAGCTGTTTCTATTTAATTCTTTTTCGTTTTTCCTTTATATTCATGCCAGTTTATTAACGATTCGACTATATTAATGTAATATAAAAATAAGGATACGAAACCATTCAAGGATAAAGAATTCAAATTAACGGTAACTGTCTTTTACTTGTATGTATCTAAAGTTGAAGAGAATGACCGAGTAATAGAAGGTTTCGGGTTCACTCTCATTTAATTAGTATATTGTGATATCAGAAATCTTTACTTCACGTCATCAGATTAATAAAACTAACTCAGTTTTATATCGGAACAAGTGATTAATAAAACAGGGAAAGTCACAGTGATGATACTTGTTGTTATTTTTTTAATAATGTAACATTCTTGAGCAAACGCTAATCTTAGACATTTTTTAATTTCTATTATAAAACAAGTTTAGTCCATTTTCATTAATTATCTTTTCTTGTTATGTACTATTTGTTTTTTTCTTCATAGCAGATTTCACAAAAACTATTCCATTTTTGTCATGAAAGAAAATATAAGTGTTGCCAATGAAAACTACATTCCCAAAATACTGCTAGTGACATTTTTATTATGCTCTTGTTATTGGTTATTTCTTACAAAAACCTTACGAATTTAATTAAATCTCGTTAGCATTCTTTATTTTACTATAAATCTAATAATTTCTTTCTTGAAAAATGTCAGCTGAATCAATACCTTAATCAATTTATGATAGAAAATAGATCTTCATAGAAATAACGACTGAAAGTTGAGATGCTCGAGAATAAGGCTCTGTTAAGTCCCAATCTAGCAAAAAACATTTTATAATATTTTCGTACGAAATCTAGAAAATTTTTAAAGCAACTTTTTTCAGATTATTCAGGCAAAGAATACAAAATTTTAGTTTTCTCTTCGAAATGTTGTTTTGCTTAATATGAAATATTACGTTGCTCTCACTTCGAAGTCATTATTTGTCTAACTAAAATTTTTGTTTCATGCAACTCTATTACTGATCCATGCAACAACAATAACAGAATGGAAAAAGTCTAAGGATTTCTATTTGTAGAAAACGTAATTCATCTATGGATAACAGTCATTTACGTGGAATTATATTGAAACTTCAGGATTGTTTAAGTGATAATGATCGACAACGTTTACATTTTTTTCTCGGAGACACTGTTCCACGACCAATTAGAGATGACCAAACACTAAATGGTACTCTGAGGTTAATGGAATCACTTTTTGATCAAGATAAAATCAATGAAAGAGATGTCACATTTTTAACCAATGCTTTTGCTGCAATTCAATGTGTTGATGCTGTCAAACTTCTCAATGGTATACTTATTCATTTGATTAATATTCTAATAGATTTTGTTCATTTAGAACATATGAAACGGATGCACTCAAATCGCTTGCATAAATCAACACAGAGTTTATCACCAATAATTCCATCATTTATTGATCAAATTATTATGGATCAAGAAGATAAAAGTTCTACTAAAACTTGTGAGTAGATTCGTTATTATTCTTTAAAATTTCTTTGCATTTAACTAATAAATATAGTTTTTCTGAACCAGAAAAATAATTGCAGTAAAAATAATAAAATTATCCATAGTAACAATACAAATCTTAATCCATTGACAATCGCCATCGATAACAAAAAAATATTACCTTCACCATCCAAACGAAATCAATTATTTTACATGTCATTGATAACAAACAAATATTTCTTTTTAATGCTTCTCTTATTAGTAATTGCATTTGGAATATTGGCGAGTCTTTTCTTCATCAAAATCAAGGAAACCAATGAACTGAAAAGCAAAGTTAAAATAAAAGATGATATCATTTTGGAAGAAGGAAGAAAGCATAATCAAACTATTCAGCAGTTGAACAATCTTAACTCAGAAAACATTCGCCAATTGGAACAATTGAACAATCTTAACTCAGAAAACATTCGCAAATTTGAACAGTTGAACAAGCGAATAGAGGAGATGAAGAATGGAAAAAGTAAAAAAAATACATTGTTTTTTTAAGATATCAATAATAAATTACTATTCCATTATATCAGGTATTATTTTTATCAAAGCCGGTCAAATGTTTGGTGGTACAAGTGGTGACTACTTCGATGATTCTTCACTACCGGATTTCACTTGTCATCATTTAAGCGGCATCGCTGCTTATGGTCATGATGACAGTATGGAATCATATCAGTTCCTCTATTCTTCTGATGATGATGATCAAAATCCAATAGAATCACAGATTCATGGCAATCAAAATTCTATAATTATAAAAAAATTCGAATTTGATAAAGATGAAAACTTAGACACAGTAGAAGGACAGCTTATTAATGAATACAGTGTCTCTCCTAACGGCACAAACTTAACAACATCACGAATCACGGGACTTCAATTTTTTTCAACAAAAGGTCGAGCAAGTCCATCATACAATGGCCGATTGGGTCAAACGTTCACCGAAAAGTTTGATGGATACATTTTAGGCTATGTTACTGGAAGATCAAATCATCATATTACTCAACTACAGTTCTTTTGGTATCGAACAGAAAATAAATGTTAATCACTAGTAATTAACATAGTCATTTTTATGATTTCTTTTTTGTATGAGTTGATGAACAATTTTTTACATTTGAACAAAAGAACATATTTTTTTACATTGAACTTTTATTAAGGCTGTTCATTCAGATACTGAATAATTATCGAGAAAGTTTTTTGTTTGATATTTTTCTTTGTTAAAAAGATGATATTGAAGATTTATCCGTGAGATACTGTTCAGATTTCAACGATAGGCATTCATGAAGAAGAGCAAAACTGTGATATATATATATATATACATTGAAATAACGTGAAACCAAGGATGGCGAAACAGACACTGCGACCGTCAAATCCCCTAAAGTCTAGAAGCCTTCTGAAACTTGTGAAAATAAGCTTGATTCACGCAAAATCCTCACAAAAAAAGTAATGAAACTGTCTTGTCGTTGATGATCTTATTTTATCAGAAATGTGATCTTTTATTGCTTTGTCAATCTGCTAGAAAAAAGACGAGTTCGTTTGAACTTCAAAAGTATCATCATTAGTGTTTGTATGCTTTTGTAATGAAGTTTTCTTTTTATTTGTATACTGAAACTTTTCAAAAATTAATATAATATATCGCAGAAAATAATTTAAGTAAAATGGAAACTCTTTTGCTATTTTTACATAATAGATACTTTTTTTCCATTAGACAGCAATCTCCCACGATTTCGAAATTTGCTCAAATTCTTATCTAATCTCTAAGACCCTTGAAGTCTTCTAAAACCATAGAAATCTTATAAATTCTTTTAGCTTTAACGTTGGTTGTTTCGTCTTTGGATTGAACATCAAATGATTTTATACCTTGGTCGATTAGTTAATGCCGTCGTGTTGGAGATCGCCGCCACTCATTCAATAGAAGAGGCTAATTGTTATGACAATGCTGCATCAACACTTGCGATTTCATATTCAGGTCTAACATCTTATTATTTGAGTTCTTGTTATTGAAAACATATAGATCATTAGATATGACGATTTTTGATAGAAGAAGTGGTAGCGTGGATCGAATTACGTTCTATTCAGATTCGTTATGTTATTAATCGCATTGTTTACGCACAGAACACACGTTTACTTGAGCAACTAGGAGAGAGAAACAGGGGAGGATAAAGATAATAAGAATGATAATTATGAAAGAGGAGAGATTTATTGGTGTCGTTACGCATGGTGCACTAAGCAATAATGTGTTTCATGAGCATTCGACAATAATGACATTTCAAAGGATGAATAATACGTTGAATAAGAGGCAGCACTATCTTGATCGTGTTGGAAATGAAAAAAAAAAAGACTGATATTAGATGATTGTACGTCGACGATATTACAAAAAGCGTTGATCAGGAAGCGAAGAATTTAGTGAGAATTTTCTCATTAATATCGGTAACTCATTCAAAGAAAAGTTTTCCAACGAGTTTTTCCTAAAATACTCCCAAAAATTAATTATCATAGTGAAAATTCACTGTCATACTACTATCTGATAAAAATGGAACATTGTTTATTTTGAAAATGTAGAGTCCACTAATAAGATTCTCTCGAGATAATTAATAAATATTTAAATTGTACTTTTTTTTTAATGTTTTCAGTTGTGACGTAGGAAATATTTAAGTTAAATCATGGGGAGAACTAATTGCTGTCGTTTAAAAGATGAAAATAAATTGTTCTCTATTATTTTTATTTCATTAATAAATATAAATAGTATATTATGGCTTCAAAAATTGTAGTCTTCAAGCATGCTATTGACAGAAAAATCTACGAAAGCTCTTATGAATTCGACAAATCAATACGAAAAGTAACATCGTGATGATAAACAAAATACATCTTTGACATTGTCGCTTCCGACGTACGGGTGTTGATTCAACACTTTATCGTCAATACTATCATGCTGCTATTTCAATCTCAGACTAAATAAATGAAGTGATGATCAACGAAATATATTAGAAAATCTGTTGACATCTACATAGAAAATAAAAACGTCGAGCTAATGCGATCTGTATATCAAGAAAATGCATATTAACAGCTTGTACATCGTTAATTTCTTTTGTTCTTGCCATTAACTATAAGTAATATCAATAGTGCCTCAAATGCAAAAAATCGTAAATGAGAAAATGATTTCATATTCTTTACATTGATGTTCATACTCAGAATCTGTCATTTCCATATGTATTTTCCGTATCCATGTGTTTCTAGGATCTGCAAAAAAAGACTCTAAAGTCTATTTAAAGCTTTATGTATGCATAATAAAAGAAATTATAAGTTACGGATCCATATAATTTTATAAATAGTTATACAATCTGATTCTTATGTTTTTATCAAGTCAGACATTAGTCAAACAATTCACATATTACCATATGTAAATGACTTTTACAGAATAATTGTTCATGGATATTAAACAAATAAACAATTTACAATTATTGAAGGTTTAGTACGTATATCAATAAACGAGCTCATCTGCACTATCATATCTATGAAGATGAAATGTTTTTTGTCATAAATGGTACTCTTCAATTTTATGCTGATGATAAATAATTTTGTGCAAAAGCTGTTACAACTGTCTGCATTCCACGTAATATAACACAATCGATTCAAAATATTAATTCTAACTTATGTATCTGTTACTACTTAGTACACTGTTTAAATAATCTTTTTTATTCAATGTTTTCAATGATTCTGAGTTTTGCTGTTAAAGTTTCTTTTTTGTTGATAGAAAATAAATCTGAATACAAATTGTTAATAAGACCATCAATCGACTTCCATTATTGAGAAAATCAGAATAATAGGAAATAAAAACAAAATTTAATAGCAACTCTGAAGCTCTGCTATATTAATGTAAGAAAAATATGATTATGTATCTCATATTTAAACAAGCTAACCAATAGAATTACTTAATCGACTAGACTTATTTGAATTTAATAAAGCATCACCTTAGCAAGTGCATAGCTACGTTAGAGATCTTCGAATGACGATAATGAGCAAAAACCGAATAGAGTTGTTTAAAGTAGAAAAAAGAAGACCATCAATATATTTTTATTAGTACATTAATCGAACATTACTTTTATGTATGTTATGTATTTGATGAAACAATTTTAAATGAATGATTTGAATATGCATATACGTATATTTTTCATTGAATCATATGATTAAATAATAAATTTTACATTTTCGGAAAGAAAATCAAATTGTTTTTCAAAATAATTCGTTTTAGATACGTCCAAGTGCAACATCTCGTCCAATGCCTCTATTGATGAATGCAGTAAATTCAGCTAAATTCAGTTTATAGTCACTATTTTGATCAACTTTTTGAATATGATGAAGGAGCATATGTGGATTAGCATCAGGTACAATAACAGGCATAAAAGCGGCTAATTCACCAATATCGATCGTACCTGAATGATCAGCATCTAATAGACGAAATGCTTCAGGTACATCATCGACTGCATGTGGACCTATAATGAACGGTTTTAAAACTTTGATAAATTGATCAAATGGTAATGTTGGTTTTTGTATTGTAGCCGCTAATCGTTCATAATCTTGCCGTTTCACTGATACACGATAATTACGTTCTTCACCATTATCATGAATTTCTTTGTATATATATTCAACTTCAACAACTAGACCACCTTCTTGATGAATAATTTCTTCAACCCGAATATTAGTTTGATTTGTTGTCATTATCAAACGTAGACTTAATCGAATAAGAGTTCACTGCGATTTGAGTTCGTTAATCGAAGAAATTCAATGATTCACGTTGTCGTTCTGATTTTAACAGAGTAAAAAAGAATCGTAAATTAATTTGTTTATATAGGTTTTTTTTTCTATTTTAATGAAACTTTTATGACATATCTAATTGTTCAAATAAGTTCATTTTCAAAAAAATGAGAACACAAAAAAATACTAATGAAATCAACATGCATTTTCAACAATAGCCAAGTAAGTTACTCGAAGAAAATGATGTTCACGAAATACTTTTAGCCGTTCATATAGGATAATTTAAAATAAAAAAATTACTCAATGACAGATGTTCTTGATCAACTTCTGCATTCTACGAAATTTCTTTATATCTATGTTCTTGAAGTGCGCGAAGTTCTTATTAGGAGAAAATGAAGAGGTTGAAACAATTTTTCTTTTTGATACTTACAAACAAAAAACATGCTGCAAGTCAATAAATCTTATATACAATTCGATTTGAGATTTTTTCGGGAAACGCTAATAAAATAATTATAAGCCTTTTCTGAAAGAAATCTAGAATTCGTTCAAATCCCGACTAAAATTATGTTTTCGTTATGACATTTTCTTTTCAATATATCCATTCAATACGTTCGAATCTGTCGCGCATGTCAAAACTGAAAGTTTAATTGAATTATTCAAAAATTAAAAAATATTTGCTCGCTTAACTAATCTGTTATATCTGTGTCGTGCCATGGAGACGCTACTCGTCCTTCGAAGAACAACGATCTATACTCGTCTCTATGCATACAGTAAAGTTTATCCTTAATTTATGTTTCGACACTACTCAAAAAAACGTAAATCTAAACGGAGAAGAAGACTTTGAATATTTTTTTTATCGTTTTCGACCGAAACAATAAATCGGATGAACTCAAAGCATTGATGCTTTTCTAGTTATGTCATTAAAAAAACCTTCGTTTTCATACTTTAAACAAATTTACAACATATTTTGTTCACTAGCTTCAAAGAAACGGTATAATATCACTCAAATTTATAAATTAATCAATATCATTAAAACAAAATAGATGAGGTAGAATTGCTGAGAGAGGAACTCTTTTAGCCGAGCAAATCGTTTATTATCAAAAAGGAAAAAAAATCATTTGAGAAATTTTCACATATTCTTTTATTCTCCATTCTGAACATTAACAAAAATCCAGCTTGTTCGCTTTGTTTGTATATTGAAAAGAGGAATAAATAATAAGTTTTCTGTTGTTGTTTTAGTCTCTCATCAAACCAGTTTATTCATATTGAATAAATTTCTTTTATTCTTAATGTCATACTACAGATGTATGACATTTTTCATTACGTGAGTTATATCTGCATGCCTAGACTGAGACTAATGTTTTCATTTAATCTTATCGCTAGCCATCTGAACAGACTTCAGCTAATTTATTAATATTTAATAACATTTATAGAGTAGGTAAAATGAAAAATAGTTATTTCTCTAAACGTTTGACAATAGTCAACTTACTCAATTCTAGGACGTGATATGGATGTTTCATACATTCTTAATTTAATCAAACAAATTCATTTCACAAGCCGCTCTTCATGACTTTCTATCGATTTAAAAAATTGTCAATATTACCTATTTGAACTAGATAGAATCTTTTCCAACATCGATAACTGCCAGAAAATCGAATTTTTCTGCTCAAAAAGCTTTTAACTAAAAACACTAAGAATCGATGTTGTTTCATTTAGATTCACTTTCACATTAATCTGTCTATTACTTGGACAACTGTATTCATTAAATATCATGCTAATAAAACAAAGAAAAAAACATTCTGAAAACACAGTCGTTTTCAGAAGAAAAAACTTAATAAGAACTACAAGTAAAATCTATTAAGAGTAAACTAGATGTACATACAAAGATAAAAGAAATGAGAGTAAATTTAACAGATCATTTCTCCATCACTAGTAAGTATAAAAAGACATAAACAAGAGAAAAATTTTGTTGATATATTTTATTTTTTTCAATTTAATTGCATAAAAAGTCACATCTAATGCAACAATATTAGGATAAACGTTCGACTCTACTTCTTTTCAATAGGAAAATACTGAAAAAGAAGTTTGTTTTTTTTCAGTAACAGATGCAGAATTTATTCCTCTTTACAATTAATATGAATTTTATGATACGTTCATAAAAACAAGACGATGTAACAGAAAAGTGAAGTACTATTAAAACATATGTCTACACTTTTCATAGAATGCAAAATAATGACACGAAATATCAACTAATGAATTTCCTCAGTAAAAATGTGTTGGAACGGTGTGGTGTTTTAATTAATTGATAGGAAATTTTTTCCTGTTTAGATCTGTATATAATTTCTTGTTGCTCATGCCTTCATGAACAAAATGTCACGAGAAGGAAAAGAAACAGTTAAAAAATGAATTTTCAGTTTTTGTAATTATAAATTCATCAAATAAATCTTGCAAATTCACTAAAGCATGATATCAAACTGATCACAGATATATCAGTATTAGTGAATAGTATGAATTCAATTGAAGATTGTCTAACATGTTTAATGATTTTTAGTAGAGAAAAAGCATTGAACATTGTAAGTGAATCGCTTTTTGAATATAGGTACCATTTAATGCAATTAAGTAAAAAACGAAATATGGACTCTGTCGTAGTGAATATTTTAGGCTATTAACCAAGTGAAACGAAAATTTCTCATATCAATACTGTTACTAACCTCCCACTGATGGTCCGTGAAAAAAGAGGAGTAAAGAGGATCAATGTAAAAATAAAAAAGAGAAAAAGTAGGAGTCTCTTATTTCAATCCTCAAAATCGTAAAAAAAAAAACTTAAAGTGAAGGAAAAACTCCAACATCGTAAAACTGATCCTTTATTAATCTCTGTTCGGTAGTGGCTTTAAATATAATATGTTACGCTATATTGAAATTGAATTAAGAATGTCAAACAATTCATCGAAGTTCTTTTCATTTTTACTACTCGCATGGGATGCTGTAAAAGTCGATTGAAGTTCCATCAATTAACTTTTCATTATCTTTCACTGTGTTTGCTTATCTTGTTGCAACTTAGTTCCATTTTAGTTCTTTTTCTATCTAGGATAGTTGCATATAGTATTTTCATAGATCTAGCATTTTCTCTGTGTGAAAAAGAAAAACAAGAAAAAAAAATCAGTATTCACTATCATACATGAACCTACTATTGCTAAATGCATTTATCTATGCTAAGTTTTCTCTGTACACTTTACTTTTTGATAAAAAAGGGGGAAAAGAGGAGAATTTCTAAAAAAAGAGGGTCAAAAGAGGAATTTTAAAAAAAGGAGGAAAAAGAGGTGAAGTGGTGGCCAGCTGTTATTACATTTCCGTAAGGCTCTGTTATATTATATAATTTGCCTTGTTTTAAAAAATAATGAACTATTGCTTTACAAAATTTATGTCATGAATTTATAATTACAAAAACTGAAAATTCATTCATCAACTGTTTCTTTTTCTTCTCGTGACATTTTGTTCATGAAGGCATGAGCAACAAGAAATTATATACAGATCTAAACAGGAAAAAATTTCCTATCAATTAATTAAAACATCACACCGTTCCAACACATTTTTACTGAGGAAATTCATTAGTTGATATTTCGTGTCATTATTTTGCATTCTATGAAAAGTGTAGACATATGTTTTAATAGTACTTCACTTTTCTGTTACATTGTCTTGTTTTTATGAACGTATCATAAAATTCATATTGATTGTAAAGAGGAATAAATTCTGCATCTGTTGCTGAAAAAAAAAAATTTTCTTTCAGCATTCTTTTACTAAAGAGAAGTAAAGTCGGAGGTTAATCCAATTATTTTGCATGAGATCTTAAACTGAAATTGAAATCAAAAGAAAAGAATATGAATGATAGAAAAATAAAAACAATTATTGTAAATCTTTGTTTACAGTGTTCATTGGTATCACAATAGAAGTTTATCTAGTTTTGATGTGGTAATATTTGATATTGTTCTAGAAGAAGTTTATAGTGGACAATAACGACACTTATTGTTTCTTCTTCTAAATCTGTCTCAACAATTTCCGCAATCATAAAAACTTGGTACTTATTGCTTCCTGCAAGCATGAACTCCTTCAATAATAGCAAAGATCATGTTAAATTAGTCAATACATTTCAAAAGATAAAAATAACATTGTTAGATATACCTACTAATAATTCAAACCTCTTTTGTATATGTGTATGAATATTTGTTTACATGACGTCAAATCTGACATCGACTGCTCTAGTAACGTTCATCCATATGTGATAGGCAATAGTAATGGAAATCATTGAAATAAAAATATCTCATTTCTTTTTCGCTTTTGCAGAAAAGTTTCATCCAGTTAATTCATCATAAGTATCTTTGAATTTCTTGTGATTGAAATGAATCTTGCAGTCTTTAAAGTCAACAATTCAAACAACCATCGGCGCTTCTATTCCAAAATTAGCTAATATAACGGAGTATCAACTTCCGACGTGATATTAATGGCATAAGCTAGAACCACTGATCGTGTGAAAGACTTCATGAAGAATCAGTTACTTTCAAAACCATATATGCCAGCGAGACATGTTTCAAGATATGATAAACGACAAAAGTAGAATATATCGAAATTACTCTAAACACTAGCGACAAGTAGGGATGTTCACTAATATGAAAATAATAATAGATAAATCTTTTCAATTATTCTGCACTTCAGAAAATTATTTGTTGTCAAAATCATATACTTCTCTATATCAATAATGACCGTATCATAGAAAATTTCCTATGCATCAGACTATGCATATGATCATGGAAAACCGCATGAAAAAATGTAGCGCGACGAAAAACAAGGAAAATAAATTGTCAAATTTATTCAAAATGGTAAATGCGATTTTTTCTGACACATGTATAGGCTTGTGTCTAGCCCGAGCCTACACCTAGCAGCTCGGACTTCATAGGCTCGAGGCCGAT